TCAGCTTCAGGTAGGTAAACTGCATTTGCAATGCATTTTTATAAGAAAGAAGTGAAGGAAAGTATGCCGTGAGAGAAATGACCACTCGAATCCTCACGACATGAGAGCTATGCTATTGAAATGTAATTCCATTTATTTCATATTACCTATATTATTAAATGTATACACATGGTTGAGGTGATGAGCATAACTTCAGACTTTCCATTAAGCAAATACTCCATGGAAAAGCTAATGTTACTCAAGTACATGCTGTTACTTTTGTAAGTTTATTGACAGCAGCAATTACTGTCAAGAGAAAACTTAATAACTCTAGAACATGTCTATAAGGAACAGAAAGTCAAACTGAATTAAATGTTGAAGCCTCTTCTTTGTAATCTTTACTAGGTATATAATATATTAGTTAGTATACAAGCCATTTCAGCAAAGGGATATGGACAACAAGGTATATTTCTCATGCAGGGCATTTAAAAGTCATGTAGTAGTCCCCTTTTGAGCATACTAGTTGAATTTGGTTCATGAGTACAAGTAATTTGTTTTGCAAATTCACTGATAATACACGAACAATCTCCCTCTGGAATAAATCCCAATGAATCTATTACTATGGAAATACATCTGTTTGTTGTAGGTTATTAGCAAATGTAGTATGACTCAAAGTGCAGGAAAATTAAAATATATAATAAGGGTGATGAAGTTCTCAATTATTCCAGTTCTCTTCAATATGTGAAAAGTTTGTTATAGAAAATGGTTCTGAAAATGAAAACCGTATAATAAAAGATTAAACCTTCACAAGTATCATCAAAGATGCAAAAAAATAACCTTAATGAAGGGGAAAACTTGAGTGTAAACACAATGATAAGATTAAAAGAAATGGGCTGGGCATTGTTAGCATACACCTTTAATCCCAGCACTAGTGAGGCAGAGGCACGTGGAACTCTGTGACTTCCAGGCCAGCCTGGTCATCAGAGCAAGTGCCCGGAGAGGCTCCAAAGCTACACAGAGAAACCCTGTCTTGAAAAACAAACAAAAAAGATTGTAAGATCTGACTTTTCTTTACAATTTTAAAAATTATAATATAATTTAATGTAAGGCTCAAGATCCAACATGGTAAAGCATTTATATGTACTCATATTCCTTGCAGGCATGAAAGAAGCCAAATTGGAGAGAGGACTTCTGAACATACACAATGTGTTAATGCCTTCACATATAACAGTGATCTTCAAAGGAATAAAAGAACACACAATAGAGAGAAACCCTATGAATGTAATCAATGTGGTAAAGCCTTTTCTTGTCATAGTTTGCTTCAAAGGCATAAAATGACACATACTGGAGAGAAACCCTATGAATGTACTCAGTGTGGTAAAGCCTTTTCTCGTCACAGTCACCTTCACAGTCATAAAAGGAAACACACTGGAGAAAAACCCTATGAATGTACTCAGTGTGGTAAAGCCTTTGCTCAGCACAGTCATCTTCAAAGGCATAAGACATCACATACTGGAGAGAAACCTTATGAATGTAATCAGTGTGGCAAAGCCTTTTCTCAGCACAGTACCCTTCAAATACATAAGAGGACACATACTGGAGAGAAACCCTATGGATGTAATCAGTGTGGGAAAGCCTTTGCTCAGCACCGTACCCTTAAAATCCATAAGAGGACACATACTGGAGAGAAACCTTATGAATGTACTCAGTGTAGTAAAGCCTTTTCTCGTCACAGTCACCTTCAAAGGCATAAGATGTCACATACTGGAGAGAAACCCTATGAATGTACTCAGTGTGATAAAGCCTTTTCTCATCACAGTAACCTTCAAATACATAAGAGGACACATACTGGAGAGAAACCCTATGAATGTACTCAGTGTGGTAAAGCCTTTGCTCAGCACCATACCCTTCAAAGCCATAAGAGGACACATACTGGAGAGAAACCCTATGGATGCAATCAGTGTGGTAAAGCCTTTTCTCAGCACATTCTTCTTCAAGGGCATAAAAGAACACATACTGGGGAGAAACCCTATGAATGCAATCAGTGTGGAAAAACCTTTTCTTGTCATAGTAACCTTCAAGTGCATAAAAGGACACATACTGGAGTGAAACCTTATGAATGTCATCAGTGTGGTAAAGCCTTTTCTCATCACAATACTCTTCAAAAGCATAAAAGGATACATACTGGAGAGAAACCCTATAAATGTAATCAGTGAGGGAAAGCATTTGCTCAGCACATTTCCCTCCAAATGCATGAAGGAACACATAAAGGACAAAAGCCTTATGAATGAAATCAATGCGGTAGAATCTTCACATTTCAAAGCGCTGTTAATGGGCATAAAAAAACACATACTCGAGAGAAGCCATATGAATATTATCAATGTGTAAAGCCTTTGCTCTGCAGATTCATCTTCACATACAAAAGAACTCATAATGGGGAGAGACCCTAAAATTGCAATCACTGTGATAAGTACTTTGCATGCCAAGTATTTCTTGAAACCCATAAAAGAACACATTCTATAGACAACCCATTTTAAATTGATCAGTATGGTTAAGCTTCGGCATGTGCCAGGCATCTCTGAAATCATTACAAAAAATCATTCAGCAGGGAAACTATGAATGTAGTCAGTTTGGTTTCAAAATTTATGGTCAAAGTTTTAAAGCCTTTGTAAATTACAATCATTTTTGAGTACCTGAAAAAGTT